ATCGGTTCGTAGTCGATTCCGTTCATTCTGATGCGCTTTTTCGCCGCATCAGGTCGCCAAAGCCAAACAACGTCCAAATCCGATGCAGTGAGCTGGGAAGCGCGTGCCCTTGTCTACGCCCGAACTTCATCGGAGTGGGAAGACAAGCTACTCAAGAAGTACAAGGCCAATCGGCGGTGGATTGGGCAACCTTACGTTTTCCGCAAGACACTTGCTCGATGGAAGAAGCGTCGCTTGTCTGAGTTGACGCAAGAAGACTTTGCCCGCACAGCCTTCAATGCCATGACGCCAGACGCGGAATTGTGGTGGTCGCGGCATGCTAGACCGATGACACATGCACGAGGAGTGTGGCGGACGAAACTCGATAGCGGCGTCATTCAGACGGATTCGTTCTTTGATGAGCTTCCTGGCAAAGTCCGCCCATACAGTGACGCGTGCGACAGATGCAGGACCGAGGCATAGATGTATTGCATTCCTACGAGGAAGCTCTGTACGCAGGCTGGATCTTGTCTGAATCTTCTGTTGAAGAGGTGCTGGCGGGCCTTCAAGCGTGGCTGGCAACGATCGACTACAGTCCCTGGTCTCAAGAGCAGAAGGAGGATTGGACGTTAAGATTCACAGCATGGATGAGTGATTCGGAGTTCCACTTTGATGTGAGAGAAGAGGTTCCACTGGAAGACTTTGACGAGGAAGCACGGCACGCCTAGATCGCTCGACAAGCCACGGTCTTGCTTCGCATTGGCCGCAGTGATACGTGTTGTACTTTCTCGCCTTGTTTGTATTCGTATCTGTACTTGTTGTACTTTCTCGCCTTGTTTGTATTCGTATTTGTAGTCATCTTGTACTCGGTCGTCGGAGCACGACAGAAGAACGAGGTGGTTCGGTTGAGGCTTGAGCGACGTTCGGTTCCATTTCTTCGGTTCATCCAGTCGGCAGTCAGAACAGTCCTGTACCAATGTAGGCTGTGTTGTCATACTCCCACCTCCCCTCTGGAGTTGCTTCCCCACCCGTGCTAGCACTCCCGCGCAACTCTCGTCCTGCTCGGGAGCTGTTCGGACCACGGTCAAACTCCCAACCTCAACGCTCTCATCAAGTGTCGTTATTGGCAGAGGTTTGCGAGTCTGATACATTGTCAAGATCGAGCTCGACAACAACAGTTTGTTCAACTACAACTCTTATCGGATCGGCGCCTTGGCGTGCCATCAATGCTCATGCACAAATAAACAACGAGTCGAGCTGCAGTGTAATGGCAGAGAAGAGTTGAAGGAAGAAGAAGGAAGCTCGCTCGACTTTACAGCATTTTATACACACAACCCTTATCAAAGAACCCCCTTCAGTCCCAACAAATCCACGAAATCATCCCAAGTGCACGCAAGGCACAATCAAAGCACAAAACTCGTTTCCCCGCGTTTCTTTGAGCAAGAAGATCATTCAACGATAAGAGCGGCCGAAACCCGAAGAACCAGCCGTCTCCATTATCAAGCAACGCAGCTTGAATTTAGTAGTGACGGTCCTTATCGAATCTTCAAGTCTGGACCGCCACCTGTCGTCGCGACTCCCAGCTTCAGAGATCAAGTTAGATTTGTGCAGCGGGCTCTTTTCTTTCTCTTCAGTTGAACTATCAGATATATTCGTTCTCTCATACGACCATCGAATCCTAAGTCCGATCAGTGTCAGTCAACCAACACTCGTCAACTCCGATCAATTAATTCTCGTGAACCGAATTATTGTTCGTCAAGCCAACGGTTCCATCAAGCATACGATAACTTAAGCGGCAACTCGGCCAAGTTACAGCCAGACCCCCGTCATCTTTGTTTTTTGTCAACCCATCGCCCTCGCTTGCAGTTTAGACTGACAGAGTACCAGGAAGACTTTGATTTACATTTCAAGGTTGATACTGGGCGACAAGTGGTTTTATTATTACAAGTCGACAATCCCATCATCGCTTCATCTGCTGGTCAGACGTGGCCGTGACATGCAGGCCTAGAGGCTACCGTACGAGGTGGCTGTGATGAGTGAATCTTTGACACACCACATCGCCCTCAACACTTGGTCGCTGACCTTGATAGAGCTTTCAATTCTACAAGTCAATCGACTACGCGAAAGAATGAGTGGCAGCTCAGCCTCGGGTTTGTGATTCCTGCCATTTGCATGGCTCCCACTATCGAGTTCACGTAGGTTCTCAGGGCAGGCTTTGATCTTTTTTTTTTATCTACGAGTTGCTTCATTGCATTGCCACTATCTAGACAAGCAGATCAGGCAGTCGAGGGATGCCTTGGTGGCCGAAAAAAGCGTTTCTGAGCCTGATGGTTGTTCCATTGCATTGCCACTATCTAGACAAGCAGCTAATCAACCAGAAGAACTGACATGGACAAAACACGCACAAGCTCGGCCAACCAGTCGGCCACTCGAGCGAATGAGAACGATCGCAAGTTCGCGGAATTTTTTTTGCATGGTGCTCGCGTCGAGACTTACAAAAAATGGCGTTGCGTACATCAGACGGCGTGGCACAGTGGCTACTGCGGTAGACTCGAATAGATCTTTCGATTCTTCCGACATCTACTCCTCTCTGAGGGCGCAGGTTCGAGTCCTGCCGCCGTCGATTTTTTTTTTGGCGCTTGTTTTTTTTTGGCGCTTGTTTCCGAGCGTCAAAACCCATTGCTTCCTTGTCTTCTTTTGATCTAAGAGTTATTTCATTGCATTGCCACTATCTAGACAGGCAACTTCAACCAGAAGAAAGGTGAAGAATGCTTTTCGCTTAGGTCTCTCTTGCCTTCGTCGTCCAGAGCTTTTCGCTTAGGTCTCTCTTGCCTTCGTCGACTGGACGATGTTCCCATCACCGCGCCAGATGCCTTCAAACTCATGTCGCGCAAACTGGCGAGCTTGCATATCCGACAGTCATCATCGATAAGTGGTTCCGGACCCTCCATGAGGGCGGTAATGACGAGCTTTGGATTCAGTGGTACGCTACGCTGACGAAGCTTCATAAAGCGAAATGTTTTCCTCTGACGTCCCACACTGTTGGCTTACGGCGACCTTCGTGCGTAATGCATTTTTTCTCCTTTCTTCTGGTTGACAAATTGCTTGTCTAGATAGTGGCAATGCAATGATTCAACTCGTAGATAAACAAAAGACGTGGTGTTTTGTTGCTCGAGAAGGGGTTGTGCCGATGGCGCGGAGCAAACTGCTCGACCTAGTCGAGCGGAGGTTCACGAGTCTCGAGGCTCGATGCCTAAGCATGCGTGGGCGTGCTCTCTACCCCAATCGGTACGTCACCTCTCGTGTGATTCACTTGCTGAGATATGACGCACCGCCGGAAAACGCGATCCAAAGCCTGGGCAAATCAATCCTCAATTACGTGCGCGGCTCAAACAAAACCACCGTGGCGCTTCCAACTCACAAACTTGCCTACCTACCAAGATCGGAAGGCGGACTTGGGCTAATTGACGTCACAAGCTTCATCGACAGCTGGTGCATTCGGAGCTGGTGGATCATGACAACTACCGCCATCTGCATCTGGAAAGATCTTGCTCTCGCAGACATTGGAGACGAGAAATGGCGTGTGTGCTCGTGGCTCGTTACCTCGCCACCAACAACAATTGACAGTCGCTGGAAGGCAGTCGCAAAAGTCATTGCATCGTTGGGTCCAGACAAGGTGAACATCAAATGGAAAGGCATGACAGCGGCAGAGCAGCAGGTGTTGCCTCCTTGGTTTATTTTCCGGCAGAAAGCGCAACCGGTTTATCGAGACGAAGCGTGGGTCAAGTCATGCGAGTTGATGCGGGCATGGCCAACTATTGCAGACTTTTACAACCGGACGCATGTCGATGACGACGAGAGGCCAATTCCCGGAACGCCAAGGGGCGAACAACTCTTCAAGACTCGACATCTACGGCTCACTCAAGTAGGCAATAATGTGGGGAATCGATACACGGTAGGTAAGCCCTGCCAGCGCAGGAACAAACGCGAATGGACGACCACATGAGGACCACCAACGTGGATCAAGCAACGATTGATCGAGTTGCCAGTACACGACGAAGTTATAAAACCACCAATGACACTACGCAAGCTACGAGTGCACGCCCAACGGCGTAAGTACAACGGTAGGAAGGGTTTACCTTATTTACTACAATTTTACGATGAAAAGAGGGAAGAGGACACCTGCGCATCGTTCTGGAAATGGTTCAACACTAGCGATGTACCAGCGCTTGAGACGGAGGCGTACTGGCGGTTAACAATTGTACAACAATGACTCAGGCAACATTGAAACTATGAGCTCTAGTTGAAGATGACATGTGTTTGCACTGCACGGTGGCATCGAAAACGGTGCTTCACTTAGCCTTAAAGTGTGAACATTCAAAGGAGTATTGGATGAGAATTAACTTTGTGTTGGAAGCCGCATTGGGAAAGGAGCTAATTGAGGCGGAAATGGCACCATTGGAAGCGGTTACGGGATGTCCAGACATTAGAAACAAATTGCAGGAAGAAGGAGACAAATGGTACCTCAAGATGGTTGTATTCACGGCGTTTTACGAGTTGGTCAAGGCTAGCTCCTTTCTGCGTGCTCTTAACGAGGTTGAGCGATGTGCCTTAGTCATATCGTCGTTGTTCATCAACAATCGGCCAATGCCGTGGGGTTTTTCGAACGAGCTAGAAGAGATTTGAGACACCGCCCTCCACATGGCTTGATCTCCGACCTGGCATCCAAGTTCGGCCTCAATGGCTTGGAGAGCAAGGTCATAATGAGCAGCCGCTACTCTGGCGGCACAGTCAACGCCATTCGAACGTTGAGAGCTCGCGAGCTGCAAACTCGAATGGCGTTCCGCCGTGAACAGCTCAGCGACGCCATACTCACAGTATGCGCCAGGTACCTGCTCGGCAGCGATGATCCGGCAGATCTGCAAATGTACAACATCAAGTTGTCCAACAGGGCGCCAAAATCGCTCCTTCACGACTTGCTCGGCAACCTGAGGGCAGTGGCGTTGCCAGGTCTCGCCGGAATTTTGGAGGAGAAGGAAGCCGAGGGCATCGCACTGCAACCATGGGAAGCGCGTGCCCTTGTCTACGCCCGAACTTCATCGGAGTGAGAACAAAGTACGAAGCCAATCGGCGGTGGATCGGAAAAAACAATGTAATCCGCAAGACGTTGGATCGCTGGAGAAAGCGTCGCTTGTCCGAGCTGACCCAAGCGCCAATACATCCAGTCCCTGATGCAAACAGGCAAGATTTCCTTCCGCTGCACTCGAGAATCGAGATGGTGCCAAGAACAAATGCAAACGCTAAATGACAAGCATTCAACTTACACTAAGCGCACAAGACCAGAAAAGAGATTCTACGAGGCATGAACCAGATTAAGGCAAAACAAGAACAGAAGCGAAAAGGAAAAAGGTGTGTTGAGTAAAGATTTGCGAAGTATGCACAGGGAAGGAAGGGCGAGTTGACGTGTTTTTCCAAGGAGAAGGGGGCAAGTCAAGAGAGCCAAAGACAAGAAAACTATGCACAAATGACATCGAAACGCAGAGAACACAGGCAAGACTATGTACAGGAGCCTGACGAGCTCTAGGCGTGCAACGTGTTGGGTGGCAACGGAATGTGATGAGCATTCGTAGCGTAAGCTTGAGGAGGTGGCTGGTTGTCAACGAAATCTGCAGACACTTGAACTGATTGTTGTTGAGGTGGTGCTTGACCACGTTTGTTGCCTCCAGCACTGTTGGCGGCTGCGGCGGCACCTGCCTTCTTGCCAGTCTCTTTGTCGTATTTGTGAATGGCAATGCAGTGACGAGTGCAATCGTGTTTGCGCGAGAATTTCTTATTGCACTCCGGGCAGGCAACTGCAAACGACCAATGTCAGCTCTCGAAGCCTCGCAAACGCACCACACGACAGACTCACAATCGCGAACACCCATGTGCGACTTGATGTGCGACTGCAAGTTGAAGTTGCGAGCAAATGCACGACCACACGACGCGTGAGGGCACACCTGAGGTATCGACTGTCAACATCAAGTCCTTGCAAAATCACGTCACCAGAACTTACAAATTTCTTTTCTTGAGGTGCCTTGCCGCTTGAAGGGTTGCGTTGTTTGGGCGCCTTTGTTTTGGTTGTCGCCGTGTTCCAATCGGCAGCCTTGTTCTCGTCATCAGTCACGTTGCCAGACGTGCCACCGTTGCTGCCGAGACCGGTGCTAATGTTTTGCTGACCATTGGTCGACGAAGGTTGAGGGGGAGGCAACGTCACGTCACCAGGTCGGTACTGTGAGCCCAAGCCCATACCTTGACCTGGATGAGTCGCGCCAATCAAGTCGTTGATTGTCGACGTGCCAATGTCGCCTGCTTGTGCCGTTGATCCAGTTGCCAGAGGGTGTTGACCGGGGCCGGGGCCGTACTGAGTGTATCGAGCGTTGTAGCTCGAGGGGCCATTAGTAGGTTGCATAGCAGGATGGTGTTGCTGGTGTGGGTGAGGAGCATGGTGGTACACGGGCGAGTGAGGCTGAGAAGCGTAACCTTGTTGTGGGGGCGGAGGGCCTGTCGCGTATTGAGGACCTGCACAGATCGTCTTTGATCAGCCCATGAATGTAACATAACAATGCTGCTGAGAATACACACCGTAAGCCGAGTGATGTTGTTGCTGCTGTTGCGGTGGCATGCCGTAAGTTTGTTGCGTGTTTGGGCCACGGTACGCTGCTGCCTGTTGGCCAAACGAGTAAGGGTACGAGCCCTGCTGCAGACGGAATAAGACCGATACAGAGTCAGATCGACAAAGCTGAGAATGCTGTTCCAAAGCAAAGCGCGCATACCTGGTTGTAGGACGCGTACGAAGCTGGCGGGGGCGGCCCTTGGTGATGCTGTTGTTGTTGCTGTTGAGACTGTTGGTGGTCGATCGTGTGGTAATGACTGTTTTGTGAAGGTTGAGCGTGTACGTGAGGCGGCGTGTTGCTTTGAGCGTTAGCCCCAGCTGAACCTTGATTGTTGTTGTTGTTGACCGGATGCGACGAGGCGCTCAACAGCTTGGTCAGCCCGGCATGCGCTGCAGTGTTGTTGTCCATGACAGTGACTGCACCGCGATCCAACGTCGATAGGGGTCAGCTGATTGTTGAACCTGACACAACTGGGACGGATTGTCTGCGCGCGTCGTGCGCATACAACGACGACTGCGCGAGTTGCTTGTTTGCGCGCCGAGCGAGGTTCCGGGTCGGTTCAAACAAAAACGACCTGGCTCTGCCCCGACAATCAGCACACTGTAGCACTCACATTTGTCAACAAATAGAATTGTAGTGTCGATAGGTTTGTCAACAAACGGATGCTGATCAGGTCCAGTGGGCTGTTGCAACAAGAACACAATTCGCAACTCTTGGCGCGCGAGCGAAGCGAAACGACGTGGATTTGGGTCCGAGTCAGCAGAAAGACAGTCGTTGACGACGCTCGTTCAAGCTCTGTTGGACAAGTGTCGAGCGACTCGTCAGATCAAACAGTCAAAGTGCGAGTGTTGCTGCGCTGGTCGCGGTTCCTCGAGCTGTGCGTGCGTGCGTGCGTGCGTGCGTTAACAGAGCAGCGGGCGGCGAGAAAACGTCGAACTGCGCCGCCTGCTGCCGCCGCTCTCGAGTG